TGTTTGATTTTTATATTACTGGTTTTTTAAAATTTTGTATCCAGAGTCTTAGGGAACCTAGTAACATTAACCTAACAGTTTATTTGCTTTGTCCGTGTTTCAGAGTATGATTACTAAAGATCTTTTAAGATTCTGTAAAACTTTTATCCTAAGGTATTTGCTGTACCAGTTGGAGTATACAGTCAAGTTACTATATTTTAAGACGTCTTGAAATAATTCTTCTTTTAGAGGTAAACACCAATTTGATGCACAGTTAAGCTTTAAGTTTTAGGAGATGCTTGTTTCGTTTTTATTTAATTTTGTTTTATAATTATGTGGGAACATTTATGTGGCTATCAGGTCTCGCTTCCATTGCTGTCTCTTGTGCTGTTTCTTTTTTCTTCATGGAGGGAACATGTACTAATTTCCGGTATACACATGTGTGAGTGTGTGTGTGCCTGTGTGTCTATTGCTGCCGTCCCCTTTGGTGATTGTGGCATGCCATTGGCACTTTCGGAGCTTGCTTTTCTCTCCACGTAACGAAAGCAGTCTAGAAATCATTCCTGTGCTCTTCATCCTCCCTCTGTTGGTGTGTGCTTGGATTGTTTCCAGTTATGCAAGTGTTTTCAGATTTTGCCTCCCTTCGGGGAAAATTTCTAGAAAAGAGATTGCTGGGTCAAAGGGCAAAGACCTGTGCAGTTCTGCCAAATTCTGCTTCCTGGGGGATTTGCTTTCACTTTGCCTTTACACCGCAACGCAGGGAGCACGTGCCTACCAGTTTCATCAGCAGAACATAGAGTCTTGTCTTTGGGTTTCCCCCAGTTTATCTTTTCATGAGCAAAGCTGACCCTTTTCCTGCTGCAGAGCCACGCTTGTCCTGTGAGCTCCTTCGTCCCATCGCTGGGCTGTTTTCTTGTGTTGCTATTGCTCTTTTTCTCCTGTTTTAAAATTCCTAATAAGCGAAGTGCATTAACCTGCGATGGGCGTCGCCCCTTTTTATGTTGCTAGGGTATGTGTTTTTCCTTATCAAAAATTGCTTTTGTGCAATCAAATTTATTTTCTTTCATTATTTTCTCCCCTGTGTTTTGAGTCAGAATTAGGAAAGTGTTTCCTCCTTCTGGCTTGTGAAGGAGCCGACCCATGTTTTTGTCTGGGAGGTGTAAGGTTCTCTAAATGTCTGTGTCTTAACCCGCACAAGCATGCCCATGTGCTGTGCAGACCGTTACTCATGTGGGCCTGGGTTCTGCACCTCTGCAGATCCTCGCTTGCCCCAGTTCCTCATGGAAGTGCCAAGTAGTCACCATATTTGCCGGACCTGTGCTCGTCCTCCGGTGGACTTTAATTATCTCTAGGTGACTTGTAATACCTGAAACAGCATCATGTCTGTGTAAGTAGATGTTGAATTGCATTGCTTGGGGAATAATGAGAAATAAGTACAGTCTGTCTGTGTTCAGTAAAGATAAGTTTTAAATTTTGCTTTTTGAAGTGTTGGGGAATAAGGTACCATGGCCTTTGCACTGGGCTATATCCAATCCCCTTCACATTTTATTTTATTTTATTTTGAGATAGGGCACTACTGAGTCACTAAGTGACTGTAATTGTCCCACCTTATCCTCCCCTCAGTGCTGAGATTTAAGGTGTGTGCCACTGTACCTGGTTTAAAGAATGTCTGTGATCTGCAGCAGATGGGGATGTGGGGAACCTGTGGTGTGGAGGACCAACCGTATATAAACTGCGTATTATGCATATGTGTAGATCTTTATAGGAGATGTATTTGTAAATATTTGGGTTTTATGGACACACAGATGTACCTTTGACTTGCACGTTTTCTGGAAGGACTGAATGAAACGCTGTTAAGTGTGTGCGCACCTAAATACAGCCTTTTTGATGGTGATGACACTTGTGCCTCATTTTCTTCATGTTACCTTGCACGTGTGCGCTGGAATCCCGAGGAACAGGGCTGCTGAGCTCGTCAGGGGCCCGACCTTGCCTCTGCCTCAGACCCCAAGCAGCTGTCCCCGTCCCTTCTGCTCCTGTGTCCTCCGCACATCCCTGGGGGAGGAGCCAGTGGTGAGAGTGGCCGGGAAGGACACTGCCGGTGGTTGGTACTCAGAGGGCTCCAACTTCCTGCCCTGTCGGCTGATGTGGTCCAAGCTAGGCTAAGGGAGCCAGTGTTGACCAGGGCATCTCAGCTGCTTTCCAAGCTGGAGCCCTCGAGCTGATCCAGGGAGTGATGCTGTCCTGGGCGTCCTTCTGAGGCCTCTAACAAAAGACCCCTGGTTGTACTGCGTCACTGCTTTTGTGGTTCGTCTGTGTGGAACAGCTAGGCCTCCATGCTAGGTCTCCTTTGCTGGTGCAGAGTAAATACAAAAGGAGGAGGACAGATAGTGTGGTGATAGCTGTGCTCTCCAGAGAAGTGAGGTGTTGGGCTGGGAAGGGAGTCCCACTTCTTCCGGTCGGAAGACGCGTCCACTGCCCATGCCATGAAGACAGACACTGACTTCCATCGTTGCTGGTGTCCAGGAAGCCAAGCAGGTGAGAAATAATTCACCAGAAGATAACTTCCACTAAAGTCTGAGCAGCAGCTTAGCTAAAGTAGCTTCTTGGAACATTTTACTCTTCCATTTGCCATGAGCATGAGCTGGCTTTCGCAGATCTGAAGTTATATAAATATTTGGACCAACTCAGCAGCTTTGATTTAGGCCTTGCAAAGAAGATATCTAATTGAAAACAGAAAGCAGAGGGGGAAGTGGAGTTTTTGGAAGAGGTCAGCAAACTTGTTAAATGGTGCATTCAACTGTGTGGTGGTCCCTGGTTTCATGGCATTGGCGTCTTCAGAGCCATGGCTCACCGGGTCTCTGGGCTGCAGAGTCCCTGCTGGCCAGGTGGCAGGAGCTGTATTTCAAGACTGGGCTTCTAGTGTGTTCCAGGGTCTTCTTTCTTGCTGACAGACTGTGCTCTTCACAGCTTGAGGGGACAGCGACGTTTCCCACTTGCCTGTCTTTCACTGGGCTTACTGTCCCTCCACGTAGGCAAGGAAGAGCAGCCCCTAGCTCAGTCCTGGCGTTTTTTGTTCGGTCAGCTGCCGCATCTCGTCACCTCCACTTTATAAGCTTCTGGACTCCTCACTGTCCTCCTGTGCACCCCGCTGTGTGACTTGGGGGTGGCCCTTGCCTTGCCCTTGTTCCCCTGTACCCTGCCTTGGGCCACCTGAGGTCTTCCATCCTGTGGTGAATGTGGGTCTTTGTTTTCTAATTAATTATTGGAGGTAGAGGGGACTGAGCTCAGGGTATACACAGAGGTACATCTGCAGTCCTGGTTTTTAATCAACCGTTTGAGGCAGGGTCTCCGTAAGCTATGTTGGCTGGGCTCAAACTTGCGAGCTTTCTGCTTCAACCTCCGGAAGTGCTAGGATTATAGGCGTGCACCCCCATAGCAGGTTTACTGTTTTTTAATTTATGAGGGGAAGAAGTTTATCTCATGGTTCCAGGGACTATGGACAGGCAATCAGCTGGGGCCTCCAGCATGGAGTGTCGCGGCCTGAAGGGCAGTGTGTCCAGTCTCACAGTATCTTCCTGGGTTTCAGTCACAGGTACAGCCACCCGCACTGTTGACTGAGACCCTGCATGACCATGCTGAGAGGACAGGGTGCAGCCCACATCTTTCTGCCTGCTGCACCAGCCCCTCACCCTCTGCCACTGCCCTGCTCTGTTGGGAGCTCCGCCCTTCCGCCTGGTCAGCATCTGAGCCGCGTGTTCCCTTTGCTATGAAGCTGCTGCAGCCCTAGGCCTCTGCCCCTTTCTCAGTGACCCCACAGGTGCTTGGCTCGGCTGGGCTGGGCACTTCCTGCACTGGGTTATTGGATTGTGATGAGGGAGAAGATGGGGCTGCAGGACTTTAGTGTGGAGGAAACACAAGCTTTGGAGTTGATTCAGCCTGGCTTTGAATCTTGGCTCTGTCATTTCCCTGCTGCTTGATCTTGGACTCAGCTTTCCGAGAAACCATTTTCCCATGCTTCCTCCGTATGGTACTGGATGGGTTCAGCAACCCAGTGGACAGGCATTTCAGGGCTCTGGTAGGAACTCACGGGTTGGTCTCCTTCTCCTGCACCACCTGCCTAGAGGGAGGATCACTGTAGTGGGTCGTGCTCAAGACTTACTGTCTTCTCTCTGAGAAATGGGTTTAGTACAGTCCCATTAGTGTCCTGTGGATGACAAATGTAGGCTGTGTATGCAGAGAGGGTCACAGTTTAGGGCAGCATGGGAGGCTGTTGCCAGGGGCCAGGTTGGGGAGGAGCGATGTGCTCGCATCAGGACAGTGAGCACCAGCTCAGGCGGAGAGGTTCTGCTGGATCATGTGGCTGTCCCTGAAACACTATCCTGGGAAGCGCAATGATGCCTGCAAGATACATGGTACTTAAGGGCAGGGAGATAATTATATCCTGTTGGTATCCACACCCAAACCTAGGCTGGGGAGCTCTTAAGGGAGAAAAATATTGGAGCATAGAGGGAAATCTGCATCAGCTGAGCCGGGTTCTTTGGGTGGCTGTCTGAGCAGTGTGGACCGGAGGAGAGGACTTCTCCTGCAGGTGAGAACTGTCCATCTGTCTTCCTGAGGACAGATGAAGAGAAAAAGAGCGGCAGGCCAGGCAGCAGCAAGCTGTCACAAGCCTGTCCTGTCGGATCTGAGCATTCTTACCCTGGAGAGCTCCATGTTTGAGCTGTGGAGATGCTTAGACTTCTTAAGTGACCTGAGAGCATGCTGTGTGTGTGTAGGGGGGCAGGGGAGTAGTTTAGTATACATAGAATTATTCTGCAGTCTTCTGTCTTGTCTCCAAAATTAGATCTGCAAGTCTACATTTTTGAAAAACTGTTTGGACTTGACTTTCTTCCTCTCAGATGGGGTGATGGCATCTCTGGCTTTGCTCTTGGTGTAGCCCCCCTTCTGGAAAGGGTTGGGTTGGAAATGGGCTTGTGCAGGCAGCCTGGGTCGCACTGCTAACCCAACTTGTGCTCTTCCAGGCACAGCGCGACCTTCCGCATCTCCCTTTCCGGCCGGCACACTGCTTCCTGTGTCCATCATGGTGTTTGGTGAGTTCCTCCATCATCCTGGACAAGATGAGGAACTGGTCAACTTGAACGTGGGGGGCTTCAAGCAGTCTGTGGACCAGAGGACCCTGCTGCGGTTCCCTCACACCCGGCTGGGCAAGCTGCTCACTTGCCACTCGGAAGAGGACATTCTAGAGCTGTGTGATGATTACAGTGTGGCTGACAAAGAGTACTACTTCGATCGGAACCCGTCCTTGTTCAGATACGTCTTGAACTTTTACTACACGGGGAAGCTGCACGTCATGGAGGAGCTGTGTGTGTTCTCCTTCTGCCAGGAGATCGAGTACTGGGGCATCAACGAGCTGTTCATTGGCTCCTGCTGCAGTAGCCGCTACCAGGAGCGCAAGGAGGAGAGCCAGGACCGAGACTGGGAGCAGAGAAGCAACGACGTGAGCACTGACTCCTCCTTCGAAGGGTCTTCTCTCTTCGAGAAGGAGCTGGAGAAGTTCGACCAGCTGAGGTTTGGTCAGCTCAGGAAGAAAATCTGGATTCGGATGGAGAACCCCGCATCCTGCCTGTCAGCCAAGCTCATTGCTATCTCGTCCCTGAGCGTGGTGCTGGCCTCCATTGTGGCCATGTGTGTGCATAGCATGGCAGAGTTCCAGAACGAGGACGGAGAGGTGGATGACCCTGTGCTGGAAGGTGTGGAAGTCGCGTGCATTGCCTGGTTCTCGGGGGAGCTCGCCATCCGTCTGGCTGCCGCTCCCTGTCAGAAGAGGTTCTGGAAGAATCCCTTGAACATCATCGACTTTGTCTCCATCATTCCCTTCTACGCCACGTTGGCGGTGGACACCAAGGAGGAGGAGAGCGAGGACATCGAGAACATGGGCAAGGTGGTTCAGATCCTCCGGCTCATGCGGATTTTCCGCATCCTGAAGCTTGCCCGGCACTCAGTGGGACTTCGGTCTCTTGGGGCCACACTGAGGCACAGCTACCATGAGGTCGGGCTGCTGCTGCTTTTCCTTTCTGTCGGCATCTCCATCTTCTCCGTGCTGATCTACTCTGTGGAGAAGGACGAGCTGGCATCCAGCCTCACCAGCATCCCCATCTGCTGGTGGTGGGCCACCATCAGCATGACGACTGTGGGCTATGGAGACACCCACCCCATCACCTTGGCAGGGAAGGTCATCGCCAGCACCTGCATTATCTGTGGCATCCTGGTGGTGGCTCTTCCGATCACCATCATCTTTAACAAGTTTTCCAAGTACTACCAGAAGCAGAAGGAGATTGACGTGGACCAGTGCAGTGAGGAACCCCCTGAGAAGTGTCACGAGCTACCTTACTTTAACATCCGGGACATTTATGCACAGAAGGTCCATGCCTTCCTCGCCAGCCTGTCTTCTGTTGGCATCATGGTAAGCGATCCTGACTCTACGGATGCTTCGAGCGTGGAGGACAGTGGGAATGCCTACAGAAGTGTGTCCCTGGAGAAGTGCACCGCTCCGTGAGCAGGGGTGGCTATGCAGTGTTTGTGTCCTTTCCCAACATTAGGTTAACACAGCTTTATAAACCTCAGTGGTTTGTTAAAATCATTTAATTCTCAGGGTGTAACTTCTAGCCATAGTTGGACATTCACTGCTGAATTCTGAGATGATAGAAAAATTGTCTTTATTTTTTATCAGTGAGGTCAATTAAATGCCTTGTTCTGGAATTTATTTTTTACAAGAGAGAGTTGTGATATGGTTTTGGAAAAAAAAAAAAAAACAGTCCACGGCATTGGGAGGATTTGTTGCTACAGCTTATGCATCATTGTGCATTGTCATTTACTCACATTGAGCTAACTGTAAAATCAGAGGTCCAGCTGACGAGGACTACATGCACGTAAGATCTGCAAAATGAGACAATGCATGTAAACTCATAGTCATGTTTCAGACATGGAAATCAGGAGCCTAATAAACCTCCTAACTCAGTATGGAGCGTGGCTTGGTTGTCATGTTTTTGTGTCTAGTAAGTACAATTAGGTACACACAAAATTGGCTCGAAAGGGGAAGCTCTTTTCATAATTTCAAGGGCCCTTTCTTTGTGTGTCTGGATTCTGGATAAACACTAATGGTACCTTTGGGTTGAGTAGAGTCCTGGTGGTGGGCAGGGAGAAGAACATGCCTGTGCTTGAACTGTACCATGCAGAGCAAACTGCAAACATGGGTGCTGGGGACATAGGAGTGAAGTCTGGACGCTTACGTTTCCAGAATGTATTTTGAGTTCTGTAACAGTTTCTGTGCTAGAATAAAACCTTATCACCTGAGAATTATGCAGAGCAAAGGAAACCTACACCCTCAGCCAGAGAGGCTGTCAGTGAGAAATGTTGTGCTTGCACAGCTTGAGAAGAGCTTCGCTAGCAGCTGTGAAATGGGCCAACATTTTCCAGTAGTGATGGCAGTGGCTGCATCTGTGAAGCAAGCCCTCACTGCGAAAGAAGACACACATAACCCTCACCTCAGAGACAGAACAACTCTAATCCATGTGCGAGAACTTAGTTTTGGAGATTTATGGTAATGCTAAGGAGCCCAGCAGCAGGGATGTGTGGTCTAACTTCCTAAGTTTCTTGGCTCACTGCACCAAGGAAGGACACGGTGTGTGGGTCATCAGTGACCCTGACTCCTCACTCTGCGTCTGTGACTTGGACTCAGACACAGCCCCCACGGTTTGTGCTCCCTTTAAGTCTGGGCAAGCGCACCACCCCCTTTCTTCCCCCAGAGCCTGTCACTGGCAGAAGTGAAGCCTTGGGACATAGTGGGACTTGAGATCCCGCTCCACTGCAGATTTCTTCTGAACTAGCAATGAACTAACCGAGGTCAGCCCACATAGCAGGGCAGTGCTGGTGAGGAGGGTGGAGGGCTTTCTGCCTGTTGGTCTCCTCATTCCCGGCAGCGTCCCGAGCAGCAGGGCTTCCTATTCTCACTCAAGCTGGGTCCCCTGGGTGTCGGGAAAGGCAGCTTGTGTTGAGTCCACACAGAGAGGTGTGAGGTTGGGCCTCGCCCGTGCTCCTTAACTGTCCTCTGCTCTGTGTGTCAGGGCACAGATCAAAGAGAGACCAGAGCTGGGCTCTGCGGAGGAGGAGAAGGAGAAGCTGGCTCTGTCGGAGTTGGAGTTTCCAGCCTGTGAGTCTTGGTGGAGAGACGCTGGCAGGAGAGGTGCCTGATCCAAAGATCAGACGCATCCTCTTTACAGGGAAAGAGCTTCCTGGGACACCCCCAGGCTGTGTGGACTTGAGGGCCCTACCACAGGGTGGTAGACACAGGGGTAAGACTCAGGAATGTCCCCAGCTGGTGGGAACAGAGGGCTGTCCTGCCTATGTCCTGCATGTCCTAGGCTCTTCTGGACAGGGCCAGCTGCAGTCACTCTGGCTCACTGTCCCATGATTCCCCACTGCACTTTTCAGCAAAACCCAGCCCACACGCCCAGGCTCAGGTGACTCACACGTGCAGTGCTCTGTTTGGCTCCCTGGGCATCTCTGGTTTCCCATACTCCACACCGAAGGATGGTACATCCTCCCCTGGGGGTTGAGGTGGCAGCTTGGTGTCCCCTCTGCAGGAGTTCATGGGAATGGGGCACATCAGGGAGGGAGGGGGTGTCATCTCAGTGTTCTCTCAAATCTCTGTTCTTCCCCTGTGAACTCATTTCTTTCTCTTAGGTTTGTTTTGCCATCAGCAATAGGGCTTTTTTTTTTGGTGGTTTGAAAGGTCATGGAGAGAGGTGGGAGAGAGGGAGAGAGGGAAAGAGAGCAGCGCTGGTGTGTGGGGGCTGGGGAGTCCGCTTTGGAGTCAGGATGGAGCCTATGCAGAGCTGTGCCAGCTTCCAGATGCCTCCTCCCAGCCACATCTGCAGCCAGGTGCGGCCTCTGAGGTCTCTCTTCTCCCCTTCGAGACCCCCGCCTGAGCTGAATGGTCTCCCTCTTGCAGTGTTGGCCTCTCTTCTTGTAGATGTTTGGGTGTGTGGATCCTGGCAGGCCGAAGACTTTGCTTGCTCTTTCTTTTTATTTCCCAGAAGCAGCTCTTCCTCCTGTATCAGTGATCTCCAGGGGGAGTTCTGGGCGCTTCCTGTCCTCATCCAGAGAGTCTTGGGACTCAATCGTCTGGGCCTCCGTGCGTGGGGTCCTGCTGTGTTCCTCAGACTCCATTCCTGTTCCTGGAGAAGCTGGGACAGGCTCAGGAAGAGGATGCTGCACCAGGTGGAGCCGTGGCCTTCACTGTTTTGGTCTAGAAAAATGGTTAAAGTTGGTGCTGAGGGTTTGCCTCATGTCAGCACAGCAGGGTGTCTCAATTCTTGGACAACCAGCAGTGGCCCTGTGGGGAGCCTAGGCCTGAATGGAAGGGCTCAGAGCTGGACCCAAGCCAGTGACCCTCTCAGCTATTTGCCCACCCCAGAGTGAGCTGGTAACCACTGGGAGCCTTTGGGTTCTTTACACTTAAATAATTTATGTTCTTTCCAGAAAATTGCTCTCAGACTTCATTTATATTATAAATTTGCATAATAACCAGTTTCAACCTGCAGTCTGTTTTTTTTCTTACATTCTTACTTTACCTGGCTAGTGAAATTTTGTGTTTTATTGTTGAGGGCCCAGAGAGTTGCCTTCCTTAAAACTTGGGGTATTCAAAGCCTTGGCAAAGGACCACCGGCTTCCTTTCCTCTGGTGGTGAGGCGGCCCAGGAGGACAGTCCGTGGGTTCACAACTTAGGTTTCTTTAAAACCACCCGTACCTCAACATGTGATTGTTTTCAGCATCTGTTACTTCACCCTTCACAAGAAGAAGGCCAAAACATTTAGAATGGGGTGCGGGAGGGCTGAGAAGCGGACAGGGGTCTTAGATGGTGAAGCACTGCCCACAGTTGTGGGTGGAGATGGCTCCGGGGACGGTAGGGGACCTGACCCCTCTACACTGTGTAGAGGAGGACAAGGAGTGAACTGCCCAGGTCGTACAGCAGCTCTCCCCTGCCTCCCGTCCTCCTTCCTCTCTCCCTCCTCCCTTCTGTTCGTCCGTCTGTCCTTCCATTACTATGAGAAGGGTGCAGCAGTGGCTGGGAGGGGACCGCACACTTCCCTGTGCCCTTTCCAGTGTCAGCAGTTACTAACTCACGTGGAACTTCTCTCCTCTCTTCCATGACTCACTTCCCTGCTCCCCAGTTTATTTCTTGTCATTGACTCCATAAATATTTCAGGAAACATCTTTCAAAGAGCAGTCTTTCTCTGAACATAATCGCAATGCCACTAATAAAATAAAAATATAATGGTAATTACTTTGTGCTGTGGAGGACCTTAAAAAGCGTTGCATTTCTGGACATCTGGTTCAGGTAAGAATTTCTGCAAATCACAAGCTAAAGTGTCACAGGATGCAGCGAGCCTTAAAGAGAAATTGAGCCGTTTCTGCTTAGATTCTCAATGTTCCTGAAATGGGAATCTGTTTTCTCAGTTTCTAAAGCCTCCAGAGACAGCGGATACACTCTACAGGTCTTTTTTGATGTAAGTGGTGCTAACGGTAATTTCAAGTTCATTTGTTTTTATTTTGAATTCACTTAAGGTAGCATCAGCTACTAACAGCCCCTGAAAGAAAAGATTGTCAATGGTTTTAAATCACTAAGTTTTCACTTGGAGTGCTTTTCTCCATCTGTAAAGAATTCACATTTTAAAACCTTTATTCAGTTTACCTTTTTTCAGAGAGCTAGGAGGAGAAAGAGAAAATAATGGATTTCACCCAGCCTGACTGACCTCCACGTAAGGTAGGCATTCAGCTTAAGCAGCTCTCCGAAGAGTGGGGGCTCCCTAGGGCTGCTGCCACAGGTTATCACCTGCTTGCTGGCTCAGATTTGGAGGTTTATTCTTTTCTAGTTCTAGAGTCCAGAGGTCTGAGCTGAGTCCCCCCGGCAAAGCTGGGGGAGAGGTGGGATGTGGGGGCCTTTGCCTCGCCTCATCTGGCTTCTGATGGCTGCGGGTGATCCTTGGCTGGCGGCTATACTCCTCAGTGCCTGTCTGCAGCCACAGCGCCCTCTCTTCTGAGTCACATCTTCCTCTGTGTCTTACACAGACGCTTGCGATCACATTTAGGACCTACGTGGTTACTTCCGGCTACTGTCACATCAATATCCCCGGCTGAATTATGTCTGCAAGTCTTTTCTGTAACATGAGGTCACATTCATAGGTCAAGACCTGCACTACTTCGAGGTCGTTACTCAGTCGTCTGCATCCGTAGGCAAAGGTGGCCCCAGGTGTGACACAAGCTTCTGAAACCTTTCATCGTGATGGTGTCCAAGTGTTCATGCATCTTACTGTTTGGAAAAGGAACAGTAGCAAGAGCATGGGGTCTTGAGCGAGGCAAATTGGAAATCTGACCATAAGTGTGTGCACAGTCCTGCTCCTGACCTTTAACCTCGGTGAGCTGCCGTCTTCTGGTCTGTTCACAGGGATAGTGCCAGCATTTCATAGAAAGCTAAGAATGAAAGAGGCTTCTGTGTGCCGGAGAGCTGGGTGCAGATCACGTAGGCGGAGGCGTCTTGGTGTTCGGCACACCTTGCAGCTCCACTCAGGTATGCGGGCTCCGCTGTGCCCCTCCACGCTGCAGTGCTGAGGAGATCAAACACTGTGCGATGGTTGGGACACTTAGATGTGTCCGGAAGGCATTATGAGAGGTTGCTGATGCTCATTTCACATTAAGAAATGTTCATCTATAATAGCAGAATCACAAGTAATAGCGAAGGAACTTTTGAGTGTATTCTTCAGGGATTGTGGAAACCCAAAACCATCACTGTGACTCCGTGGGTTTACAGGTGGTAAAGAGCACCAGGCTAGGCCCAGGACGCCTTTGCGCATACTCCAGACCCATTTATCCCTTTCTGAGCTGACTTGAGAGCCACTTTGCCCTCTGGTTTCAGCCTTAGTGTATGAGTGGGGAAGAGTGCCAGTGTGTGGATGGAAAAA